CATGACTTATTTCCCTTTTATTTTTCAATACCGTTCGTCTTATAAAACTCTTAATTCCTTTCATTAAAAGCCATATCTCCAGATTCATGCTTATTATCATAAAAACTTTGTGGGATGAAAGTTTTGATGACTGAGATCATAGAGAATGAACTGTTGAATGAAATGATGATTATGATGATAATTTTTGTAGTGATGATGATGATGATTGTCCTAGTGGTGATGACATTTATCATTGATATGGATAATAAGAGGTTAATACACGGCAGGAGAGGGCCGGAAGGTGATAATCGGCCCGCAAAATGAATAATGGACCCGAGGGCTTTAGTCCGAGGGCCATTATTCATTCAGGGCCGACTATCACCTTCCGGCCCTACTCTGACGTGTATTAATGTCTTTAATACACTTGGTAGATCTAATAGTAGCATTTAAAAAAAAAAAAACAACAAAAAAACAACAAAGTTCTTTCGTTGAAATTCTTGTCTACTCTTCTACTATTCTGTGCAGAGATGGTTACTGTTTGTGTGTTCAAAGCAGTAGAATCTAGAAGCAAGTTTTATTTTATTTTCTTTTTTTTCGGAATGAATTTGTCGTATTATTTCTTCAAATTTCAATAGTAACAAAAATGTGTTTGTACTAAATACGCTTAAGCTCTCATAATAAAAATAAAGCGATTCGTGCTGACAACCTACTTTCACTTTTACAGTTAACTGTTTGATGACGTAAAATATGACGTCATTGTTTCAGTTTGTGCACGTGCACATGTTCTGCGGGCTGATAACTAGTTCTCGGCCCCAGTTGAAATCATAGGCAATTTTGTTACTATATATAGTAACAAGTGTATTAATGATTATGGTATGCGACCAACATACAGACTGTTGTGCAATACAATATCAAGGAACCTGTATATAGATAAAGCAATAAGGAATTTCATTAATAAAATTTGATATTTGGAGATGCTGCAGGGCTTAAAATTATGGTGGGTGATTTGGTACATTGCACGTTGCGGTGTCGATAGCGTCGTTATCGCCTTTTCGTCTTGTCGCTACATGACACGACAAAGCGCCAAACAGCGCGTTGTCGCGCTGTCGTATTGTCTCAAGCGAAGCACGCCAAACGGCGAGTTGTCGTGCGGCGCGTTGTCGCGATGTCGCCCTGTCGCTTGGCTTAACCAATCCTTCGATTCGAACCGAGCGACAATGTGACATCGCGACAACACGCCGCACAACAACGCGCCGTTTCGCGTACATCGTTAGCGACAGGACGACATGACGAAAGTTGGACAACGCGCCGTTTGGCGCTTTGTCCTATTGTCGCTAGCGCCAACACAACTCACAAAAACGTTCCAAATCAGCCACCATAATAAACAGTTTTTTTAAAAAGATATTGACACTCAAACATATGGTGCTTAGCAAAAGTTAAGTAGTATATATTTAATCGCTTCTAAGAATTCGCCGACAAAAATAAACTTTATTGCATTCCTAACAAAATTCAGGGTCATTAAAAATTGTCACAAGTAGGCTGGTTATTTATTCGAGAGGTCATTAGACCTCTCCACAGCGTCGAGGATGCGAAAGGTTTTAAAGTGTATAAACCTATGTATCTAATGCAAAAATTATTGTTTAGATTTTAAAAAAGAATACTTCTAAAATGTTTGTATGAAATAAAAATGGTAATAAATAGCCTTAAAGCGAGAAGCACATGCACAAGGTCATTGATAAACGGATAAAACCTCCTTAAAATAGAAAAATAATATTTTGTTCCGAAACATTGTTTTTTTTTTTTTTTTTTTTTTTTTTTTTTTTTTTGTATTATGTACTACGCTACTCGAAAGTGTCGCGTTCTACCTTAAATCGCAAATACAACGTTTTTCTTTGTTTCAAAAAGTCATATTGTTTTTTTAAACAATTAGAGGTTCAAATTTAGAAAAATGAAAAGATTTGTCATTTGACCCAGTTTTTCCTCTTTTGTAGAAGTACCCTTAAACTCCTTACAAGAAGTATCTTTAAAAAAAGATACCCGTCTGAAGTAAAACTGGTTAACTTGCTTATGTTATTTCTAAGTTGTCGATACATATAGAAAATGTTAGCAATGCTTGCATAGCAATGACATTATATTTTTGTAGCTAAGAAAAAACACATTTTCAACTATAAGCATACTCCACAAAGTATGACAACTTCTATTTTACAGTATTTATTTCAGTGTCCTTATTACTTGTTTTTACGTTTGACTTTATAAATTTTGTTATCATATTCAAAAATGAGGTATTTTCAAAAGAATCACATATGAAATATTGCAAATAGGAATAAAAAGAAAATGGGTAGTATAAAATGAACAAAATACTGATGAACGTTTTATCTTTGATTTAATGCAAACAGCTATGGTGAAAAAGACACTGAAGAGTTTGCTAGTGATTACTTTGATTTAGTAAATGTATTTATATATTAAATTAACAAATGCTTCCACATAACAAATAATGTACTTTAGACATAACAATGATATTTGTGTTATGAGAAAGATATAACCGAACAAGACATACCATTAAAAGAGAATTCTTATATTTCTATACAATGCATGGTTAAAACAGAATTTTTAAAGCTTAGATTGACATCTTAAAACGCTTACACGGAAATTCGAATTGTTTGAAAAAAATGTCCAGGTTAGCAAAAATCTTTTATCTGAACATCGGACTGTCAGTTTAGGTACAACTTGTTTCCTTATATAGATATAGGAAGCAAGTACAGTATTGTAATTTTGATAAAAATAACCTGATGCAAAATATGAGATGCATGTACAAATACGATACAATCTAACAAATAGATTTGCACCCGGTCACTCTGTATTAAAATGACATTTGTAAATTTACATGATATGATAATAAATGCGAGAAAAATTAATATGGCTGAATAAAATTCAGTTATGAATTTAAATGTACATGTATATTTTATATAAATTAAAGGGTTAAAAAGCGTATTGATCGTTTATACTTTCTTACATTAAGTAATACATGCATACATTGTTTGTATGTTTTTTTGTTGTTGTTGTTTACTTTTTTTGTCGTTTTTTTATTCAACTGTCGCGTGCTTTTTTTCTATATTGCGTCACCCGCTGCAGATGATACAGTAGTTACCCCGTTCTAAAAGATGGCCCTGGTTCTTTTACATACCAGATGTAAAGCTTAGAATACATATAGTTTGATTTTCCTTACAACCTACAACCTGATTCTTGCATTGTATTAATTGTCAACTTCGCAAAGTTTTAACCTCCAACTATAACAATCGAGGTTGTGTTCCTTTCAATCCTCAACCGACCAAATTTTCTAAAATGAATTGTCCTGCTTCTGGTTTTTAGAACTGTTCATTATAGTTCTTGGGATATCAAGAAGAAAATTTTATGTGAATGAGCCTACAGTATAGAGCCTGGTCATACTGCATGTAGACTGTCCTGGCTCTTTACTGGTGGCAAAGGCTAGTTATTTAAGTCACATACGGTTCCAGCAGGGTAAAGTTGTAATTCTGACAAAGGCATGCAATAAAGCGATATAAGAGCTGGGTTTTCAGTTCATCAAAATATGCGGTATTTATATCAACTTGCGATAATAAAAACAATATACTTTTGAAGAAATTATCTAAATGAACTTGCAAACAAAAAATGTATTTGAATACATGAAGAAAAACAAGGACCCGGTTGATATCAGTTTTTAACATGTGTCATTTATCCAAACATAGTATGCAAGTAGGTTAAACAGTTTTTAAACATGTTTGTGAAATGCTTTGTGTACACATACATTACTACATAATATGTGAAGAACGGGACAACTGTTTTACAGCAGAGATCCTTCGTGGGCAATGGAAACAAACTTATGTTAAAATTGCAGACTCGATTTGATTGAGTCTATTCACGAGAGATAATGTACAAGTGCAACATCTCTCAAGCCTTAATCGTCATGCTTTCAGATTCATTATAATTTTCAGGAAAATTTTACAATGTATTAAAAAAAATATTGTGCAGTGAACAAAGAAAATAATTAACGATTGCAAATGGCACTAGCAATCCCATAATATGGTGATAAATTCAGCAGTCCTTAATCGCATATAACATGTAAATTATTATTTGAAATTTAAACTAAATTATGTTTGGCTCATCTGGAGGCATGCAGCTATACAGTAAGCGGCCAAGTCAATTTCAGAATTCACTTAACAGCATTAGCAGCTTTCATTCAAGTGGGTAACCAAATGTGTGTGCAAGAAGAAGAAAATAGTGTTTTGATATATTCTTTAACATTTCTACAAGTAAATTTTGTTATATTTGAAATAAGATAAGTTAAAAACAATTTTAAACCAAAATGAATGATTTGAGTAAGATTTGAGTAAATTTAAAGTAGTGAATTAATTTTTCACTTTTCACATTAACTTAAGGTATATGCATTTAATATAGTTCATGGGTAACATATTGATATTTTTAATAATTTTAATTGTTTATCTCATGAAAGCATACAGTAAACTAGTCGCAATATTTTGACTGCAAGACCGACCGATAAAACCTATAGATGTTAATCGTATGTATAATAAGAATAGCCCTGTCGCACAATATGTTGGGCTAACCGTAATCAGTCGTCGTTTTGGATATTTTAAAACAGTTATGGTGAATTCATATTCAATCATATCTTTTGATATATTTATATATACATGAATTCATGTCGTTTTTTTTTATAACCAAACCTATGGTCAGAATCCTTGGGAGGCTAGAGTTGCAACAAATTAAACAAAAGTAATGACAGTTCCGCTTTGTGAAGTTAGTATTTATTTCATTTTGCCAGATTTATTTTCAATTTATATAAAAGAATTTAAGAAACGATTCCAAAACAAATTGACGCCACAAGTTGCCACTATATATATATAGCTACAAAAAATTATTATGTCATTGTTATGCAAGCATTACTTTGAGATGATCACTTAACTATTACAAACAAATTTATTTGTTAGTGTGATTGATAGTATTTGGTATACCATATTGATAAACATGTATTTCACAGAAGAGTATAATTTAGAACAAAGTCAGAGCCTTCCAGTATATGATACATCAGGTTGTAAGTAGAAAATACGTTTATTTCTTGTACTTTTTTGGAAGTCCTCTCGGGCGATATTTATTCGGATCTCCTCCGTTGCGGCCATGCTCATTGGCTTCTTGATCAGCGGCTCTGTCCGCGGGACTGTCGCCGAAGAAAAACCCGTAAACCTCTCGGGCATCACTGAAAAAAAAAGATAATTACCTGATTAATGTACCATTCCCGATTTTTTTGTAATGACATATAATATGACTGTTCATTTCATATCTATTTTATATTTCAAATACTTTCGTGCAAATTTTACCTTAAGCTTTTTTTTTAAGCCCACTTGAAGGCCCAACAATGTGTAGATTAAATACCACAGGTAATACTGTGTTTGTTTTTCCTAAATTATTTTAAAAAGCACCTTTCTCAGTGTCATGATAATATCAGATAAAATGGTACAAAGGTACCATACGGACTGGCTGATGAAAAGAGGATAAGAGTACCTGATGACCTTTGCCGCATGCCTCCCGCCAGTTCCATGTTGTGCGGCATCATAGTTTCCTCTTGCGTGGAAATACTTGTCAGAGTATTTCCAGTCTGATTCCTTCATGTCACTGCAATAAAAAGTGTCATTGTTACATGTATTCAAAGCCTCATATGACATCTTGAAAGTGCACGTATACAATTACAATACATGTAATTACAATTTTAACACTGTTTATTCATTTATTTTATTTTATTTTATTTTATTTCATTTCATTTATTTATTTATTTATTTATTTATTTATTTATTTATTTATTTATTTATTTATTTTATTTATTTATTTATTTATTTGAGAGAGAAATTATATATTATTTTAGCTAATTATTGAGGTGAATTATTGAATAACGGTCACGTATGTATTAATTCTGAATAAACCGATTATTTCTAGAAAGCCTTACAATGTAATATACATCATTAATGCGATTTCTTCCTAATAAATCATGTAAAACTTCTCTATGGTCTGGGAACAAAGAAAAACACACACAAATAAAACACGATTTAAAAAGTTTTAGCTGTATGTGCAATGGTATTGTTGTTATTGTGTTGTTATGCTCTGATAATATATTAAATACATGTATATAACAGTGAAAAGAAATCTTAATATATCTTTAATATTTGAACTTACTGGAAAAAAGACAAAGCTTGTGATTTCAAAATAACAATTCCCATACATGAAATTAATATATCCGAATGACATTTGATAAAGTAAAAAGGTGCATACAAACAAACTTAAGTCTATATAGAACTTGCAGCTCTAAAGTTGATATCTTAATGGCATTTTCAAGCAAAATTTATTTTAAAAAATCGAATAGAATCTATTTTTAACGCTAAAATATATTACTTTTATCATTAATAATACAAAAAAAATGCATGTATTTTTTCTGTTAGCGTTTATGAAAATAAATGTCTAGTCTGATTTTAAAAGAACTAGTATTCTTTTCCAATATTCTGATTACAATCAGACAAATATAGGACTCGACAAAAAAAAACGTTTTCATGACTATTTTGTTTCTTTTTCATTTCAAAGAAATTTTATCAGGTCTACATCATTTGGATATTTACCGCTGATAGACCTTTTTACTATAGCTACAATAATAGAACCTCAAAAATAGCCTTTGTAATGATACCATTTATTGCTTTAAGGGTATTATTCTGTCATAAAGGGCGATATCTTTTCTGTCAGTACACGCAAAGACGCAGATTAGATGGTGATTTGATGTAATTTCCAATTTTATCGCCTGAAACATTACACAATGTTAGCAACTTATATAGAAAATATTACCTGTAAGCCCTGTACATGTCCTTTGCTCCATTTTTGAATCCCGAAGCGTAGTCTTTCGTTTTCTGCCATGCGCCTCTACTGTTACTACTTTACTACAACAATCGACGACAATCAACAAAGTCGCGAAAAGCAGCAATACAGTTGTTATGCCTGTAAGCCTAATTTTAACGACCGTTCTACCAAGTATAGTGATAGTGTCAAGATCCCGAAATGAACAAGGACAATTTTTGATACTGAGCTTTATATGTAAATCATTTGGTGACTAAAGACGCATTCAACGGAAATTGCTATATTGCATGAAGCATGATCAATTGGTGAAGTGTCCGGTGGTTCGTGTTAACATACACTTGTAAATTGTTTTGTTTTTAACATTTTCGAACAAATATAGAAATGGAAACTACTAATATTTGTTCTTTTGAAGGACTGATTGCAACCAATCATAAAAATTGGAACCACTTCCTTACAGAAGTGTCTAAATCAGATGTCACGAAGTTAGGACTAGGAAGTAGGAAAATAGGAAGTTCATTGGACTAAATATTGTAATCTGTCGACAAGATGACATGACAAACATAAAGAAAACCAAACCAGCCTTTTTAGCTTAATATATAGAATTTATTTTAGTGCTATTGTGAAGGGAGCTTTGGCCAAATAGACTGGCTCTCGGACAACCAGAAACAATTTGTGTATAGTTTCTTGCTCAAGGAAACAACGGCTTGTCCCTTAAGGGGTATGGACCAGCCTCTTTGTAAAAAGAAAAAAAAACTGAGATAAATGCAATTAACAAACTGCTTGTCCGACCTTTATTTTCTGGGGAAAGAAGAGCTTTACATTCAATCCGAGATACTCAAAATGTGTAATTAAGTATGCTTACTTAGCAAACGGTTTTGTAATTTACGCTCAATCAAATTTTCTGATTGGTCACTAATATCTGTTGCTCTCTCTTTTTACACTGGTAGGTTAAAAGATATCAAAAATCGCCTAAGTTGATTCATTCTGCAGATTATAGCGGAAAATATAACTTTATCATAAAAACTTACCTTTTGATAATATGTCACCCGCTAATCAAAACCTTTTATGTTTGACAACTTCTTGCGGCGATGGCAGCCTGGCACCGATTTTACATTGAGCCCAGAGACGGATGACTTTCTTTGTGGACAACTGTTCATATTCGTGATTCAATCCTATCCAAATAAGTTATGCTTAGTGGTTACTCGTGTAAGCTTGTCTAAATCATGAAAGCTGGTTTAAGTCTCAGCAACATACAGTACAATATGCCATCCTAATCGTGTGAAAATCAGGTAACATAGTGACGTTGTCCATTGAAGATTTTAGATACTGTGAAGGTTTCCTATCCCAGACAGCATCATAATTTGAAACATTGATGTAGAATATGTATCAAGGCCGAAATTAAAACTAAGAACTTATCAATTTCAGTAATGTTTTTCAATAAAACAATTTTGAACGACTCGGCAACGTGTAATGACATTCTAATTAATTTTATTCAAATTACATTTATTCTGTTTTTGTTACTTTGGCTCCTAATAAATGTATAAAAAATCGGGATTGATACGTGGATAACCGAAACAGTGCATTTTAAGGGGTTAGTTTGGAAGAAAGTTTGGTTAAGTGCATGATTTAAATGATTTTATATTAAATGCCTTAACATTTGTTACATTAATTTTTGTTTATCATTCTGCACACAGTTCTTTTTTATGCATTTGTTGCGTGGATTTTGGGAACTGACCGCATATATAGGAGCTTAAAATGTATCTGCTAATGAAAAGGGTGCTTGCGGGTTGTTGTGGATGTTTTTCAATTTAAGGAGGAACAATATTTCTTTCTTCTTCTATAATCATGTGTCTATTTATAAAACACGAGTAAAGTTGCAAATCATTAACGAAGGATAGAGGAAGTGGAGAAAGAACACCCTTTGAAAACACGAACGAGGATATTTCACCAAGTTATCGTTTATGTAAGATGACCAAACCGCAAATGAATATATAATATATAAACACCAATCAATGCTATATTTGAAATATCAAGCCTATCGACCTTATGATTCAAGAAAAACTATTCAAGATTTCCGCTACACAAGCCTAATAATACTATGTAAAAGTGGTGAATACAAGGGCAGCCCAAAGGGGTATAATTTTAATAAACTTGGTAAAAGCACAATATTTTTGTGTGTAAAATTTGCTTTCGTTCGTCATTGCAACAAAGTATTTTTTACAGAATGGAAACAATAAGGGCTTTTAGTTTCATTCCACTGACAACTTTCAACAACTTGAGATGTTGTTTAAATGAAAAGTTAACTAATAATAACGGGAATAAGACAATCATATTTTCGGAGGTGCGTAATTTCTTTAATTTTGACTATTTAATTTTGTCAGCAATAATTCTGCAATGAGTTTTGATTTTTAGTCATTTCTAAAGTAGCTGGTGACGTGCGAGGAGTATTGGCGGTCGGTTTTTAAGTCGTGTTTCTTGTATCAAGGTAAAAACATTTTTTATACATTTACAATGTACTTGGATTTAAGATGGTACATACCATAATGCATTCAAGATATTACAGTCATAATGTAATAATGTTGCCGTCCTTTTCCGATACCATATATCACAAATAATAACAAAACATTTCTTTTTTCATTATATAAATATTTTTAATTATTTTTCTCTTCTTTTAGATATATTCTGTACTTTGAAAGAATAGAGTATTTTCTACAATGATCAAATATAAAGGCAATTCCATAATGACTACTGCCTGTAAAAACTGATACATGTATTTACATGATATGGATGAAAATTTGTGTATACATACTTTAAACAATATGAAAATGACATTTATAGAGACCAGACAATATATATTTGGATTAAAAAACTATACATGTGAAAACATAGTATTTGTAATACATCTACATATGATAATAAAGGACTAATCTGGAAAGCAAACCTATATCATTATTGTTACTTACAAAGTAACAGATTGTTACTTACAAAGTAACAGTTACCTATAATACATGCATTATGTACCCTAATCTGTTAACATTTTTATACAATTACATTATTATGGTGTTACTGCAGGATTTTAAGATCTTCATTTATACATCACCAGTAAACATACCATATATTTGCCAATGCTTTAAGCCTAAATTGAACCATAAACCTGCTGTTTGTGTATAATGGATTTGTCAAGCTTTGAATTCGGACCAGTACATTAAGAGTTTTAAGGGATTATAGAGTATCAAAATACTGAAATTGAGGTACCTATAGAATAGAGCCTGGTCACACAGCACATATGTACAGGCTGGCCTGACACAATACTGGTGGCACAGGCTAATCACTTTTGGTTGCAGCAGATATGGGGTAAAGGAAAGAATTAAACCCTTTTATCTATAGTGTTGATAATGACTTGACTATGTCACAAAGATAAAACCAACGTAGCCTGTAAATGAACTGTAAGCAGGCCAAACCCTATGCTCCTAACTAATATAGCATTTTAATGTGAACAATGAAATGTCTTTTATTCATAGGTCAAGTCCATTACATGATGTCAGGACTCAAAACATTTAAATAGGCCACTAAAATGACTATTTTAAATTCATTATTAAAAGAATACAAATTCATTTCATATGTGTATCTAACTTTAACTTTAAATTGTATTCAGATTACTTATTCAAAGTAAAATAAGAACAATAAGACATGATACACATTTGATACCCCCAAAAAAATCAGACATGCCATACAAGAGCAGAAAATGTATTATTTGATACTGTTGCCTTTTTACAACACTATATGCTCAAATGCAGAAAATGAACTGAAAAATAAATTTTATAAAGGTAAATATCTTGCAATCAAAGAAATGTGACAGGCCAG